GAAGGAAACTGCCATCCTTACCTGGTCTGGCCTACATGTGACTCCAGACCCACAGCAATGTGGTTGACTCTTAACTGCCCTCTGGGCAATTAGGGATGGGCAATAAATGCTGCCCTAGCCAGTGACACCCCTCATCCCATAAATGAATGAAGAAAACAAAAATTCTTGCATCTGTCCAAATGGGAGCAAGACAAAAAGTTTTGTCAGCGTTCCATACGTTTACAGAATCTTTGTTGTTGGGAGGGGAGGTGCTGAGGGACTGATGAATGCTGGTAAATGTAGATTAATTGCTTGTAATGTACTTTTTCAGCTTGTCTCGAAAGTGTCTCTCTCTCTCTTTCTCTCACATGAATCACAACAGCACTGTACTCTAGAACTAGGGAGCTATATAAAAGACCTCTCCGTAGTACACAGTGATCTGTCCAGCATTATCATATTGGACAACTCGCCAGGGGCCTACAGAAGCCATCCAGGTAAGGGAAATTCCTCAGCTCGCACCCGTCTTTTCCCATAGTCAACCCTCACTGTGCCTCCTTCACTCCTGATGTGTGCCTCTAGGGGATTACACAGTCTCTCGTCTGAGTACGAATGTCGTTAGTTCACGTCCCACTCCCGACACATCATGCCCATAATCCAGGCTGTTTCGCCAGTGTCAGTCCCAATGGAGTGCCGCACTGTCAGAGGGTCAGCGCCAAGGGAGCGCCACGCTGTCAGAGGGTCAGCGCCGAGGGAACATAAGCACTAGGAGCAGGAGTAGGCCATTCAGCCCCTTGAGCCTGCTCTGTCTCAGCCTCATCACCACTTTCCCACCTGGTCGCCATAATCATTCAGCCCATTACTAATGAAATATTTCCCTTCCTGCCCCTCACTTAATTCAGTGTCCTGGTTTCAACTGCACTCCGTACAGATCTGTGAGAGAAGGAATTCCTCCTTATCTCTATTTTCAATTTGCTATTCCTCTTCCTCTCATTCTAGATTGCCCTAAATGATGAAACATCCTCTCTACGTCTCTTTTGTCTGTCCCCTCTAGCGTTTTGTGCCCCTCAATTAGATCTCCTGTCTGTGCCTTTCAAAACTTTGTAGTTTCTCAGTCAGATTCCCTTTAATACAATTTATTCCAGCGTCGCTCAGTTCACATTCACACAGTAGACCATCGAACTGGCTATGCAAATCAGAATCCTTAAACTGGGACTCCCCCTTCTGGCTGAGTGGGGTAAATCAACAACATCAACCTGCATTTACGTAGCACCTTTAGCCGAATAATGAGTCCCCATGATGGTTCACAGTGGTGCCCTGAAACTAATTTTGACCACATAGCCCAAAAGGAGATGTGGCAAGGCGTAGGGAGGGAATTCTAGTGTTTTAGACCCTCAGGCAGCTGAAGACATGGCCGTTCAATGGTGGAGCGAAGCGAATCAGAGGATGCACAAAGGGCTGAAATTGGAGGAACACGGAGATCTCGATGGGTTGTGGAGCCTTAGACTTAGGGAGGGGTTTTGAACATTAAAGTGTTGTCTAACCGGGAGTCTGTATATGGCCCGTCAGCACAAGGGGGAGAAATGGGTGGGATTTGGTGCAAAATCCAAGCGATCGCAGCGCTGCTGGGTTAGTGGGTGCCCAGGGGATGGTTGCAATGCAGCAATATGTCTCTAGTTCCCTCTTCCTCAAGCCCTTCCCAGTGGAACCAGACCCACAGGCTTCAGGTAGGGAGCATGTGGCCAGTGACACCTTCTGTGGCCAAATAGCCCGGCTGAGCTATTGTGTTCGTTATGGCCCACGCAGCTCTTGAAGGAAAGGGATTGTGGAGAGGAGTGCGTGGAAGGATCGGGCACGTGTGTCGGGAAATGTTGCGAGCCCTGACTTGGCCATCCGGAGTTTCCTCTCCGAAAGTGACTTGGAAACGTTTCTCTTGTCTCCTCTAGATAACGCAATACCTATTAAATCATGGTTCAGTGATCCCAGCGACACGGCGCTCCTGAATCTTCTCCCAATGCTTGATGCATTGCGGTACGTGATGAATTTCTGCTTGTCTGGGGAGGGACGGGAGGGTTGGCCGTGGGGCTGGTTGGATCATTCCTCAGAGAGGGATCATTCCTCAGAGAGCTATCATTAGCATGACAGGCGAATGGTTCCGTCTTGTGCCGAGAGAATCCAAGATGTTGCTTCCTTCACAGCCTCAATATCCCACGCTCTCGCGACCAGATTAGTTGCTATTCCAATGTAGATGCCAGTTTGTATTCAATTGAATCCCATCAACTGCAATGTGTTTGGAACTCATTTTGACTCGATTTATTGTTTTCACATGTGCCTGAATACAGTGAAGAGTTTTGTTTTGCGTGCAGTACAGGCAGATCATAACATACAAGAACATACAGATCATAGAGTGCTTAGACAGAGCGAGGCATACAAGGTTACATTGCACAGGAGGTATGCAGAAGATCAACGTTCGATTTGAAATTAGAGAGGTCCATTCAGAAGTCTATTAATAGTGGGGAAGAAGCTGTTCTTGAATCTGGTGCATGTGTTCAAGCTTCTGCCTGATGGAAGAGGTTGTAGGAGAGCATTACCAGGATGGGGAGGGTTTTTGATGATGGCAGCCTTTCCACGCCAATGAGATGTGTACGTGGGGTCCATGGATGGGAGACTGGCTTCCGTGATGGTCTGGTTTTGTTTGCTTTGGTAAAATTGGTCGAGAGGTGTTTAGCCAGTTGGACTGTGGCAGCAAGATGTTTAATGAGCTCACTTGAGTGGGGTCAGACAAAAACCGTCCGTTCTGGTAGCAAGAGGAAGCCTCTGAAAAGGGAGAGAGTGCAGACCTATGACCGGGAGTGGGATCTGATCTGCCGAGAGCATCAATCACAAAACATTAGAATGTAGGGCCAGCAAATCATTAGGGAAGCCAGTAGAATGTTAGCGTTTATTGCCAAGGGGAAATTGAATACAAGAGGGGTGAGGTTGTGCTTCAGTTAAACAGGACTCTGTACCCGTCTCCTTATTTAATGAAGACATAAATGAGTTGGAAGCAATTTGGAAGGTTTGCCAGATTAACATTGGGCTGGGTGGGTTGTCTGCTGAGGAAAAGTTCGACAGTTTGGGCTGGTATCCACAAGTGTTAAGTGATGACCTGCTTGAAACATACAAAGCCCTGAGGGATCGAGTTTGGAGGAGTTGTGGGGAGAATCTAGAGTTAGGCCTCAAAAGCTGGGAAAGCTCAGTGGGTCTGGCAGCATCTGTGGAGAGAAGTTCAGAGTTAATGTTTTGGGTCCGGTGAGCCTTCCTCTGAACCTCAGAGTTAGGGCGCACAGCTTGAGGAGGTGAAATGGCGCTGTGTGACTTTTTCTTTATTCATTCGCAGGGTGAGGGCATCGCTGGCTAGCCCAGCATTTATTGCCTGTCCCTAATTGCACACAGGGCAGTTAAGAGTCAACCACCTTGGGCAGGCTCGTGTAGGCCAGACTGGGTAAGGATGGCAGTTCCCTTCCCTAAAGCCCATTTAGTGAACCAGATGGGTTTTTCCCAACAATTGACAATGGGTTCATGATCATGATTAACCTCTTACTTCCAGATCTTTGTTCAATTCAAATTCCACCATCTGCCGTGGGAGGATTCAAGCCCAGCTCCCCATTACATTATCTGGGTCTCCGGGTTAACAGTCCAGCGATAATACCACTAGGCCATCGCCTTCCCCAGCTTTACACTCTCGAACCCCATGCTGTTCCTGCCCTTGGAATGTTTGATCGGGAACGTGTACGGAGAGTTTTATTCTGTATCCAATCCCATGCTGTTCCTGTCATAAAGCTATACAGCATGGAAACAGACCCTTCAGTCCAACTTGTACATGCTGACCAGATATCCTAAATAAATCTAGTCCCATTTACCAGCATTTGGCCCATATCCCTCTAAACCCTTCCTATTCATATACCCATCCAGATGCCTTTTTAATTTTGTAATTGTACCAGCCTCCACCACTTCCTCTGGCAGCTCGTTCCATACACGCACCACCCTTTGTGTGAAAAAGTTGCCCCTCAGGTCCCTTTTAAATCTTTCCCCTCTCACCTTAAACCTATGCCCCTCTAGTTTTGGACTCCCCTTTCCCCGGGGAAAAGACTTTGGCTATTCACCCCATCCATGCCCCTCATGATTTTATAAACCTCTGTAAGGTCCCCCCTCAGCCTCTGACGCTCCAGGGAAAATAGCCCCAGGCTATTCAGCCTCTCCCAATTGCTCAAACCCTCCAACCCTGGCAACATCCTTGTAAATCTTTTCTGAACCCTTTCAAGTTTCATAACATCCTTCCTAAAGCAGGGAGACCAGAATAGAACACAGTATTCCAAAAGTACCCTAACCAATGTCCTGTACAGCTGCAACATGACCCTCCCAACTCCTATACTCAATGCACTGACCAATAAAGGCGAGCGTACCAAACACCTTCTTCACCGCCCTGTCTACCTGTGACTCCACTTTCAAGGAACTATGAACCTGCACCCCAGGGTCTCTTTGTTCAGCAACACTCCCCAGGACCTTACCATTAAGTGTATAAGTCCTGCCCTGACTTGTCTTTCCAAAATGCAGCACCTCACATTTATCTGAATTAAACTCTATCTGCCGCTTCCTGGCCCAATGGTCCCTCTGGTCAAGGCCCCATTGTACTCTGACATAACCTTCTTCGTTGCCCACTACACTGTCCTGGGAGTGTTTGATGGGGGACAGTGTAGAAGGAGCTTTACTGTGTATCTAACCCAGTGCTGTCCCTGTTCTAGGAGTGTTGGATTGGGGGACAGTGTAGAAGCGTTCATTTCAGTTTAAAAGAATGAAGAAGGCTTTATGTTGTATCCTCCTGTATGATGTATGTGACCTTTAGGTATTGAATGGGGACAGTGTTGAGGGAGCTGAACTTTCAGTTTGAAGAAGTAAAGTTTAGCGGGGTTTACTCTGTATTTAACCTGTGTTCTACCTGTCCTGGGAGTGTTTAATGGATGAACGTCAATACATCTGGGAACTTCAGTATCTTTGAATAAAGCAGTGCTGTGGGCACCATTGGGAGTTGCCTCAGCCTAGTCTGTGTCAACACTGCGGCTATCCAAATGTAGTGAACCAACGCAGCCAGGACAGACACAGTGGCTGCATTTGGCCCCGTCTGGGCTTTGTCTCTGAGTTGCGGGGGGAGTGGGGGGGAAGGATGGGGTGCCAGAAGGCACCTCTTAGGAGCAGGGGTGGCATTGAGTGAGTGGCTCGTTTGGAGGGCTAGTCCCAGGCCCGAGGGCCCGAATGGCTTCTCTCCCGTGACTCACGGCTGTTTCTTACTTGCAGGTTTACAGCAGACGTAAGATCGGTTCTCAGTCGGAATTTACACCAGCACCGATTATGGTGACCCTTGTGCCCGCTCCTCGCTCCTCTACGCTCCCTCCCCCGCTCCCCCACCCCCCCACCCAGCTGTCCACGCCAATAAGTGTGTGCGGAATGGCCTCCCTTACGTATTTGAACCCTCCCTCCTCTACCTCGTTCCCCCTTCCCTTCCTCCCACCGCCAGGGAATTTGGACTCGGCTCTCCCTGACAGACTGCACCGGGCACAGCAGATGGGCGCCTGGGAGACTCCTTGAAGCAGAAAGTGTGCTGCCAGTCTTTGATAGCAATGAAGCATTGGGACAGTATTGTACAGTGTTTTAAACAAGAGATTTAATCCAGCATACACACACACACACACACACACACAATAGATTATGAAGAAGCTCGTTTTTTTTTTGGTTCCTTTTTTTCTCCCCCATTTTTAAAAAAAAAGAATAATTTTCTTGTATTAAAAAGAAGGTTGAACTTGCGCCCCCTTCCTCCCCCTTTTGGCTGTGTTTCTGTTCTCCTCCCACGGCTGCTGCGAAACGTTCTCGGCTCGGGGTTAGCGTCGATGGTGGGGCATTTCGGGACCGGCTCGCGAGTTTCCAGGAGCTGTCGACGCAGGCTGGATATCCTGCAGTCTTTTTGCGTGTGCATTGCATTTTCCGCATGAAGGAGCACACGCCATCCCCGGGGACAACTGGCATACGCACCAGACCCAGGTCTGACCGCACGGACGGATTTTGGAATCGCCCGGGAGCAGCTGCTTGGCTTCCTCGTGCAGCTCCTTTTCGGCTTTTGTCAGCGGAGGTGAGGCCTGGGTGGAGTTGACAGAGGCAGCGGTGCACAGAAATCCGTATTCTCTGTGCCGCCCAAACCCTCGAACCCCCAACTACGAGCTCGGAGGCAAGTGCCTGGCGATCCGTTGGGGCTTCCGTTTCAAGACGCACGCCTTGGTGACTGCACCCCGTCGTGGATCCACAAAGGTTGACTGTCTAGGAGCTGGCTTCAGTTGCAGAGATTCTCTGGATCACACCATGTGCGACCCCTGACTACCTCCTTCCTGTGCGGGTTACAGGCTAACAACTTTTCTTTTCCCTCCCCCATTTTTCAATAAAACATTCCATTCAAAGTTTACAAAATTTTTAAAAATGTATTTTTAAGGCTCTCTCTCCTGCTTTCTCATCGCCTTTAGAATGTGTGTATGCCGTTTTTTTTTAAAGAGAAAGCAATGCAGAAATTGCGCGGGGAATAAGTAACCTGGCCAACATCTTATCTTTTCCTTAAAACAAAACATTTTTCTTCTCTACTTTTAAATATTCTCCACCCAATCTGTTTTAAATTGCATTTCATTTTCTGGCACGGGTGCCCAATTGTTTCATGTCCCAATCTTGAAATTGCTTCTTTAAGCATTTTTAGACCCTCCGATTCGGTGCTGTGGTGTTGACTCTCAGTCTCTGTCCTTTGTTGCTGACACTCTGTCAATTTCTTACAGACACTCAGTTTCTGTCCCTTCTTACTGACCTTTAGTGTTAAGCTTGGGCAGGTCCAGCACAGTTTTTGGTGAGCTGAAGGTATTTGCAAAGTTAGGGGTGCTACCCTGACTGAGTGAGTGAGCCTCCACAAGGGCCTTTCCTCTGTCCATACCAACCCTCCCTCATGACTTTGCAGCGTTTCCTCGATACTGACCTTCTGACAGTGCACTGCTGAGCTCACTCAGTACTGCCACTCTGACAGTATTGCATTTGTTCATGCCTACCTTCAGTCTCTGTCTCCCTGTCACACATTTGTCGCTGGCTACGCTGTCTCTAAGTTAACAATCAACCACATTTCCCTACTTCTGAACTAGGACAGCTGGGTTTGACTCTCTTGGTATCATTACATCCCTGGACAGATTTATCTTTTCAAATCAACCTACCATTTTGGCTGCGGTCTGCGGTCACACAGAGGCCAGTTTGAGTAAGAACAACAGATTTCGCTTCCCATCAATCAACCTGATCGCCATTAGGCCAGCTTTTTATCTCCTATCGATTTTTTTTTTAAAACTTTGATCCCACTGTCTGTCATGAGAGGATTTGAACTGTTGCTCCCAGATCTGGACTCTACCCAGTGCCAATAGCACTAGGCCAGTGCCAGCACAGACTTGTAAGCTCAAGTTCCATTCCCAGAGCTGGTGCGGGGCTGCTAAGGCCTGACCCTTGTGATTAGACTGTAAGAACCAGGAGCAGTAGACATGTCAGCCCTTGGAGCCTGCTCCATCATTTGATATGACCATAGCTAATGTCATCTTGGCCTCAACTCCACTTTCCTGCCCCTTCTCCGTAACCTTTAAACGTATTACTAGTTTAAATATCTGGAGATCACAGTGGGTCAGACAGCATCCATGAAGTGTTATCTAGACTCGAAATGTTAGCTCGCTGTCTCTCCATGGAGTTGTTAAATGTCAAAATGGAAAAGTACAGTACGTCAGACAACATCAGAGGAGCAGGGAAGTCAAAGTTTTGGGCTGAAACCCATCTTCAGGACTCTACGTGGATGTTGTTGGACCCACTGTGATCTCTAGAATTTGGTGTTTTCAGTACAGATTCCAGCAAATTGCTCCTAATTAAAAATCTATCTATCTCCTTAAATCTGCTGAATGTCCCCATGACCACTGCACTGCAGGTAGGGAATTTCACAGATTCATGACCTTTTGAGAGAAGCAGTTATATTCATAGTCGTAGAGCTGTACAGCATGGAAACAGACCCTTCAGTCCAACTCATCCAGGCCGACCAGGTATTCTAAATTAGCCTAGTCCCATTTGTCATCATTTGGCCGATATCCCTCTAAAAAGCCCTTCCTAGTCATACACATGTCCAGATGCCTTTTAAATGTTGTAATTGTACCAGCCTCCTCCGTGTGCTCTGGCAGCTCAATCCACACACACACACCATCCTCTGCAGGGAAAAAAGTTGCCCCTCAGGTCCCTTTTAAATCTTTCACCTTAAACCTATGCCCCTGTAGTTTTGGACTTCCCCGACCCTGGGAAAAAGACCTTGGCACCCTATCCATGCCCCACATGATTTTATAAACCTCGATAAGGTCACCCCTCGGCCTCCGACATTCCCAGAGAAAACAGCCCCAGCTTACTCAGGCTCTACCTACAGCTCCGAGCCTGGCAACATCCTTGCAACTCTTTTTCTGAACCCTTTCAAGTTGCACAACATCCTTTCCTCCCCATCACTGTTTGAAACCTGCAACCTCTCCTCCTACATGCCCCATCCCTTGAGCTGCCAATGTCCCCTCTCAGTGTTGCAAATTGGGGATGAAATGGAGGGTGTTTTTTTTTTGCAATCAAATTTAAATCACTTTCAAAACAATAAAAGGGCTCTTTGAATGGGTGCGCAAAAGCCCTGACCCTGGTGCAGGGACAGCCAGAGTGGCTCAGACAACGCAGAGGGAAGGGCATTAATAGATAGGAGGGAGCCACGTGACTGTAGGTCAGGTGACCCATTAAGGGGTGTGGTCGGTCTGCAGGGGACGCAGAGTCTTGTGACCCATTGTGACGATTGAGCCGCAGTACCCTCCACCTGCACGGCAGCGTTCCGCCGCCGGCGCATGCGCAGTAGTGGCGCCCCACCAACGAAAGAAGAATCGTGGGGTAGGCCTGAGGGGAAGGGATGTAAACGAGCCGGCACGTCCCCCTCAGGGGGTTCAGGAAGGGTTTCTGTGGGAATGAAGGCCCCCCCCGCGGCTGTTGGTTGGTGGGACTCTTTTGTTTTGCTTAAGGGTTTTTGGTGGGGGGGGGAGGGTGGGGTGAAGGAGTGAGCAGGCGCGGTGAGGAGGGGCTGTGTCAGTCCGCGGGAGGCGGTGGCGGGAGCAGGAGGAGGGGCGCCGTCACTCGGAGACCGGAGACTGTAGAAGGCACAAACACTCCGAAACAGCCGAGCCCAGGGACGAGGTCATTTTTCTTACAACCCCCCCCCCCCCCCCCCGACCTCTCTCTTTTCCCCAAACCTCCCCTCCTCCTCCAGCAAGAACAACAAAACCCCGCGGGGAGCTCCTGCGAGTGAAGGCCCGAGGCGGAGCAGCGAGCGTCGAGTGAAGGGGAGAGAGAGAGACAGAGGCCGAGAGGCGGCGGCGGCGGCTGGGATGAAGTTCCAATACAAGGAGGAGCATCTGTTCGAGAAGCGGCGGTCCGAGGGCGAGAAGATCCGCAAGAAATACCCGGACCGGGTCCCGGTCAGTTCACCCCGCCCGTCCTTAACTAGTCTAACTAGCTTAACCAGCCTGCTGCCAGTGGGTGACCAGAGTAAACCGCCTTAACTAATATAGTTGTTAAAATCAGCCCCGATCATCTATTCTGCCTGTAACTGGCTTTTAACTTGTTAATTATTTACAGCTATCTCTAACTAACTAGGTGTTAACTGGTTAGTTAGCTTACAGCCAGCTGTTAACCGGCTAGTCAGCTTACAGCCAGCTGT